AGTCTTAGAAAAAATATGGAATGAGAAAAATCAAAGGTATAGTCCAGCACCCACATCGATCATTAGGAATTAACATAATAATAATTAAATTGGAATAATTAATTATTAAAACAATTTATTTCAAGCCTTTCATTAACTTTATTAAGTAATGTTTGTCAAGTACATACTACCTGCCAAACACTGGTGTAAGTACTTCACAGGCCTTATTATCTTTAATCCCTGTAATCTCATGAGGTAGATCCTATGTTATCCTCCTTTAGCAGATAAGGAATTAAGGACTGGAGAGGGACCAGGTGAAAGAGAGGCCCACCAGACCTGCTAACAGGATTAGGTTCTTCTCTGTCACTTCCTGCACCCCTAACTCCCTTATTTCATTCCCTGCAGCCTGCAAGTGTCACCCCCAGGGGTCAGTCGGGACCAGCTGCAGCCCCCTTGGGGGCCAGTGCCAGTGTAAGCCACACGTGGCCGGGCGCTGCTGTGACAGGTGCTGGACAGGAAGCTACGGTCTGGGGCGTCATGGCTGTCACTGTACGTAGCACCAAGCAGATGGGGGAAACACTCTTGTTCACAGCCTTGGAGGTCTGAAGGCAGGAAAACTGATGTGGGGAATCTCAGAGGGGAGAGGATTGGGAATTGGACTACATTATCCAGACTATCTATGTCAATAAAATGTGCTGCAATTTTTTGTACTGCACTTCATTCATCCACTCACTGGGCACTGATTGAGCAGAGTTCTGTTAAGAAGCTTCTGGGAGTTTGCAGTCTGCGTCAGTTAGAGGATAGCCCAGGTAAGATGTGGAAACACCATGAAGGGAGTTGGCTGTATGATCTGGCATGTTAAGATGGAGGCTGGAAAGGCTAAAACAATGATGAGATTTCAAACTTGAGAAAGGGGACAACACTGTGACCAGGGTATTATACTTTCTGATGCTAGAGTCACAAACAGTCTTGGAACTCATCTTATAAGCTGCCCATTAGTTAGGGCTTAGATGGGGCTTCAAACACAGAGGGTAGTTCAGTTATTGTGGCTGTCACATTCAGGGTCTAGAATTCTCTGTTCATCATGTAAACCATTAGTGAAAATACCGTCCCCCACAGAAAGCTGCCTGAGGAACCATGAAAACCGCCAGGCACGTTAATCCTCCCTTCAGGCAGGGGACATATCTCTCAGTCCTGGTTCAGAGTGATGGCTGCCTTCCTGTCATTGCTGGTCTAGCAAACAGCCCAGTGAACAGCTTAGGGCCACTGTCACTTCTTTTTCCCCCTTTTCTTTAAAAAAAATCAATTGCTTGACATACACAAAGGAGCAAACATTTCCATGTAGCACCCTGTCAAACAAACAGGCATCATTTTTTTTTTTTGTATAGGGAAGATCAGCTCAGAGGATTCAACAATTCAGTAGAAAAGGGTTGAGCCTCTACTATCTTGTCTAGGGCAAAAAAATCTGACCATCTTGAGAGGGAGAATTTTTTTTACAGTTTTTTAAAATTATATTTGATTGAGTATGCTATTACAATTGTCATGATTTTTCCTCCTTTTTCCTCCTCTACCCAGCAACCCCCCACTCCCTCAGGCAATCCTCACACCATGGTTTCATGTCCATGGGTCTTGCGTATAAGTTCTTTGGCTGCCCCATTTCCTATTCTTTACCTTACATCCCCATGGCTATTCTGTAACTACCTATTTATACTTCTTAATCCCCTCACCTCTTCACCCATCCTCCTCCTCCTCCCTTCCATCTGGCAATCATCTGGTAACTAACCTCTCTTGCTGTCTTTAGAGACTCTCTTTATCTTTAACCTTTGACCTTTTAGTAATGGTGTGTCTCAGAGTGGGCCTTTTTGCATCCATCACAATTGGGTCTCTCTTTGCTTCCTGGACTTGCATGTCTATTTCCTTCACCAAATTAAGGAAGTTTTCTTTCACTGTCTTTCCAGACAGATTTCCAATTTTTTGCTCTTTCTCTCCTCCTTCTGGCATTCTTATGAAGCAAATGATGGACCTAGTGAAGTTGTCCTAAAGGCTGCTTATACCATCCTCTTTCTTTAGAATTCTTTTTTCTTCTTGTTCCGACTGATTGATTTTTGCTTCCTTATGTTCCAAATCATTGATTTGATTCTTGGCTTCATCCATTCTACTGTTGTTTCCCTGTAAATTGTTCTGTATTTAAATTAGTGTATCCTTTGTTTCTGACATGGTCTTTTTTATGCTGCTGAGGTCCTCACTAAGTTCCTTGAGCATCCTTATACACAGCGTTTTGAACTCTGCATTTGCTAGATTGCTTATCTCCATTTCATTTAGTTTTCTTTCTGGAGTTTTGATCTGTTCTTTCATTTGGGTCATGTTTCTTTGTCTCCTCATTTTGCCAGCCTCCCTGTGTTTGTTTCTGTGTGTTAGGTAGAGCTGCTTTGACTCCATGTAATGGTAGTGTGGCCTAATATAGTAGGTGTCCTATAGGTTCCAGTGGCACAGCCTCCCCTTCAACCCAAGCTGGTACTCAGGTGTGCCCTTTGTGTGGGCTGAGTATACCCTTCTCTTGTAGTTGAGCCTTGGTTGCTGTTGGCAGATCAATGGGAGGGATTTACCCAGGCCAGTCCATTGCAAAGACTGGCTGTGTCCATTGACCATCAACCTCTGCCATCTATGGAGGATCAGCTGTGCAGAGGCAGGGTAGTGGTGCCCCAACATGGTCTGTAGCTATCCACTGGGTGAGCTGGTCCTGGGGTTTCCCAGGTGGTGCAAGCCAAGGTCATCCCCCAGCTGTGTTTTGTCCTGGGCGCCCTGCATGAGGTATAAAGCAATCTGAGATATCTGCTACTTGTGCTGGGTTTGGAGATTCCCAGGTAAAGCTAAATTATGAATCTAATCTGGCTGCTTCTAGGGCTCATTGAAGCCAGCTGTTGCTTGGTTGATAGAATTTAGGATCGAAGACCAGCCATACTTAAGGAAAAGTAGCTTGGGTTGGCCCATAAATTGGGAGGGGCAAAGCCTCTGGGGATCTCCAAGGCAGGTCAGACAGTGGTAGCCAGGTTGATGAAGTCTCAGATACCGCACCAGCCTACTGGCTCTGTGGTGGGAAGGTTTGGCAAAGAGACAATGGTCTCTGCTCACCTTGATGCCAGACACTTCAGTTCCTCCCTGTGTACCACTGGTGCCTTTCAAGCTGCTACCCTGGTGCTAAAGCTCAGAGGGAGTGAGTCTGAGTAGGTGAGTTTGTGTGTTGGTTCTGTAAGAGGAACTGCTTGGGACTCCAGAAGTTTCTTCCACAAACTCAATTCCTGCTGGATTTTGCAGTCAGAAGTTGTGGGGACTTATCTTGCTGGGACTGGAATCCTGGGCTGGGAGACCTGGTGTTGGTCTGAGACTCCTCACTCTGGAGACATCCCTCCTGAATCTTTATCCATGTGGATGTGGGACAACTTCATTCCATGTCTGCACCTCTCCTACCGGTTTGGATAGATGTTGTTACTTTAACTCTGCAGTTGTCAGACTTCAGCTCAGTTTCTGACATTCCTGAGTGATGGTTATTTTGTATTTTAGTTGTAATTTTGATGTGGTTGTGTGAAGAGGTGAGCCATGTCTGCCTAATGCTACAATCTTTTTTATATACTCTTTTTTTTAAAGATTTTATTTATTTACTTTTAGAGAGGAATGGAAGGAGAGAAGGAGAGAAATATCAATGTGTGGTTGCCTCTCGTGAGTCCCCTGCTGGGAACTGGCCTGCAACCCAGGCATGTGCCCTGACTGGGAATCGAACCGCGATTGTGTGGTTCTCAGGCCCGCGCTCAATCCACTGAGCTACACCAGCCAGGGCCTTTCTTATATACTCTTAAAGTTTGACTCCCAAGATGCATGAAAGTTTAAGTCATTAAAAACACACTATTTGTTCAGTTTTTCTGTATAAACAACATTTACCAGACCCAACTGTTTTCAACTTACTGTTTATTGAATGAACTGGTGAATTCTTATTTAGCAAACATTCCCCTGGTACTCACTATATGGCAGGCTCTAGAGACTCACCATATAGAGTCTAGAGACTCTAAGCACCTTAGAGACTCACCCTTCACCCTGGTTGGGATGAGATGGTAAGTTCAGTGCTACAGCGTTACAGCTGTACCTCCTTCACCAACATGCCACTTGCCCCCTTTCCCAACATACTTCTCTTTGCTTTATCCAGCATGTCACTGCCACCCTCAAGGCTCAAAGAGCACTGTGTGTGACCAAATAACAGGACAATGTTCCTGCCGGGAAGAGGTGGCTGGCCGCCGTTGTGACCGGTGCCTGCAGGGCTATTTTGGATTTCCCAACTGCCGCCCTTGCCTTTGTAATGGGTTCACAGAGCTCTGTGATCCAGAAACAGGATTGTGCCTCAATTGCAGGGGGTTTACAACTGGAAGAAACTGTGAAAGGTATGGAATTCATATGTACTTTTATTTTTTATTTTTTCTCTTTCGTTCTGACCTCACAACACTCTCCAAAGAACCATTGAGTAGAAACTCAACAGTACTTAAGTGTAGCAAGATTGCTCTGGGTGGGGAAGATTGTGTCATTCCATTATCCTTCAAAATCTTGTTATGAGTCAGACAGTGTCTGACTAAATCAGTGCTAGGCAATTGCCTGGTAACTTGCTTTTTGTCATCCTTAAATAAGACATGTAGATTAAGTGCTGTTATATTGAGTTTAATGACTATACCCTGGGACTTTCAATGGCAAAAAAAAATTTGCAGAACAAACAAAAACAATCATCTTCTAAGATACTGAGTTTTCAGAATCGCACAGCCCTAGTACACAGCAAACTCACATTGGCTAGCATGCAAGCTTTCTTTGGGAACATTTTGGTAAAAAGAAATTGCCTTGACAGATGCATCAATGGTTACTATGGAGATCCGGCTTCAGGACAACCCTGCCATCCTTGCCCATGTCCAGATGTTCCCTCGAGCCATCGGTATTTTGCTCACTCCTGTTATCAGAATCCTTGGAATTCAGATGTAATCTGTAATTGTCTTCAAGGCTATGCAGGTAGGTAGTATACTTTATGGTGGTGGTTTTTCTTCCATTTCACACTGGTATTTGAAAAATAATCACATATTAATAATTTATCTGCCTTGGGCAAATGACTGTTCGGAATATAAGTTAATGCAAATTTCTGCTTTACAAACAAAGAATTTGAATGATTTAAAAACCAATGACAATGTGAAACTCACCCCACTGAATTATAAGTTTTAACTGTTCTGGAAAACTAACTCATCCAATGAGTTTAAACCAAATTAATTCCTTTAAAATAAAATGATAACATGTTAAGATATATATGTAATTAAGTAAATATACGTTGATATATTGGGTTGGCCAAAAAGTCCATATGGTTTTTTCCATACAATAAAAGACATATTTTTAATTTTCATCAATAACTATTGATATGGATATTTTAAGTATGTCAGCTATTACCCTCATGGTATAACATTGATTGTTCTCAATTAATGTCTCAATTTGACCTCTATGTACTTCATCTGGTCTACCCGACTGTAGAGCATCATCCAATGAGAACTCTCCAGGATGAAACTATGCAAAACACTTTTGACACATTCAATCAGTCATAGCATCTTCTCTATACGCTGCATAAATCTTTTTTTGCATTTCAGCTGTGATTTTACCTTTCTTGAAATAATAAAGCATGATATGCCAAAAATGTCTCTTATTTTTGTCCAGCTTCAATAATAAAATGGCTACACAAAAGTTCACAATTTTGATAAGTTTTTAAAAAATGCACACTGATATGACAACTGTCACAATATAGTCTAACAAAATTGTTTCGAATGAAGTTAAAGACAACTGAGCACTACTAGAGCCAACCCAATGTATTACATATAATATAAACAATTAAAAATTAAAAAAAATATTTTAACCAAATGCTTTCCTTGTGTAATTCCAAGCAACCAATTTGACTGGTATTTCACAGATACAGATAATTTTTTTCAGAAGTGTAGAAGCACTGATTTGGGCATTGAATAAAGACTACATACATTAATTCAATATTTGTGTTTATTGCTCAGTCAAAATTTTTATTTTGCATAGTTTAAGCATGAGTATAAATATGTAAACAAGGGGAAAAACTTTTGAAGTCCACTTGATTTAACCACAGAAACTGTGCTATTTCCTTCAGTGATAATTACCATCAAGATAATAAATTACATGGCTAGTTATTTTTTTTTTACTTGTGACCTCTAAGGTTACACATGTGTCTAGTTAATTCTTACCTTCTCTCTTATAGTCTCTTTTCCATGTACACTTTGGCTTGGTCAGTCGGTTTTTAAGAACTGAGAGCATGATTGGGCTACCAGAACATTGCTAAATGGGGTGAACCAAAATGTGGAGAGTAGACCCACAGTTTGGATACCTAAACAAGTGCAGTTGCCTCGTGGTTGGAAGGGTAAAGGGTACAGGCAAGAAGGGGGGTTTCTCCATCCAGTGCCCTCTCGTGCTCATACATCAAGGAAATTACTCCCACCACGTGTCTCGGGTTCCGAAACCTGTAGGACCAGGTGAGAAGAGGGTCTGAATAAGGTGGTCCCCCCTCCTTCCCTTCCCTTCTCTCAAAAAATAAATAAATAAAATATTTTTTTTAAAAAAAAAGGTTTGGGTCCTGGAGCAGACAAGAGGGATGCTGGTTCTATAAGGACCCAGGGGTCCTCTGCCCGCAACTCTAGGTTTATAAGAAACACTGGAATCCATTCTTCACCAAGGACTTTTTAGCTCTAAATAATCATTTTACCTTCTGAATGAATAATAAATTTAAATGAATGTTTTGTTTTAAATTAAAACACTCTCCCTTATTCATCCCCAGTGTGTGACCTCTCATTATCCCTAGAGGAGCCTAATCATTTTCTATCTATACCAATCTCCATCCCCCCTCCCAACACACACACAAACACACACACACCCCTCTCATCTCCTTCTCTCTTCCTTTCCCCATCATTCAGGAAAGCAGTGTGAAGAATGTTCTCCTGGTTTCTATGGAAATCCAAGAATTTCTGGAGCACCTTGCCGGCCATGTGCCTGCAACAACAACATTGATATGGCTGATCCAGAGTCCTGCAGCCAAGTGACAGGGGAGTGCCTTAAATGTCTGCACAACACTGGGGGACCCAACTGCCAGCTCTGCAAACCTGGTCACTTTGGATCAGCCCTCAATCAAACCTGCAGAAGTAAGTCTGCAAGGCTGCCAGGGGAACTGTGGCAGCAGAGAGGCAGCTCATAAATGTAGCAGTTCTCCTGTGTTCATTGCAGTCAAGCCAAGTGGGTGCAACTACAATATACTCACTGGTGTTATTAGTTTGCCTTTTCTGACTGTTGCCTTTAACTCCTGCTCTGGTGGATTTCGACCAGGAGTATGAGACAAGTTTCACGGTGCCAGAATCATCTGGGGATGGGGATGCGGTGTTAACATGCAGATTCTTGGACTGTACCTCAGACACACAGAATTGCATCTCTGGGGGTAGGGGCCCAGGAATCTGCATTGTGAAAAACTCATCAAATGACTTTAATGCATAAATATGATAATCATTGACATAGAGGAGGACATAGGTTTAATTCTAGGATAAAAAAGAGAACTAAACACCTCTTTTTTAGGAACTATCTTAGCTATTTCAGTTCACCCAAGTCAATTTAGTGTACTATTTGTTTTCAGATCTTGTACATAAATGGAATTTTTGTAAATGGCGTGAGGGAAAAAGTGAGACTTCGAGTCTTCCTAATTGTGAGCTCTTGGAACATAGTAAGCACAACCGTATGAAACTGCTGCTTTGGGAGATAAACAATTGAATAAATTTAACTTATTTAGGCTCTTTGATAAATTCTATAGCATTGTAAGATGTTTTGTCATTGAGCCATTTGGAGAAGTGGTATATCCAAGTCTGAAAAGCTATTTGCATGGGTTGTTGAAAGCCAGTGTTATCACTGAATTTCCCTTCTGTTATTTCAGGATGTTCCTGTCATCCTTCTGGCATGAATACCACTAAGTGTCCCCCTGGTCAGGGAGCTTGCCTCTGTGACCCCAACACTGGCACATGCCCTTGTCTGCCCAACGTCACAGGGAGGACCTGTGACCGTTGTACTGATGGACACTGGAACCTGGTCCCTGGCAGAGGATGTCAGCCATGTGACTGTGACCCCCGGACCTCTCATGATAGCCACTGTGACCAGGCAAGATACTTTAAAGTTTCTAAGCTCATCTTGTCTACTTCTTGCCACTTTTCTAGAAACAGGCATTTTCTAGAATAAGGAGCACTGGTTTCTTTTGCTGAGGAATGGTATTAGAAACCAAGATCTGGGCACCAGATGACTGTGCCTCTTTTATGTGCTGCCCTCCACCCCTCCATTCCTCATGCCTGCAGCCGCCAACCATGGAACAAACTGCTGCATCCTGCTTGGCTTCCTGGTTCACGAGGAACTCCTAATGTTCATGACATCACTCTCTGGAATGCTTCTTATACCTTTGGGGAAACATATTTGTAGCAGACTAAACAAAGAGTGCAGTTCAAATGTGGACACTGAGGAAGCCTGTGAATCTGAAAGTCAGACAGCCCTGGTTTAACCAAAGAGCCCTTATGACAAGAAGTCTGGGGTTGCTTGGTCCAAAAGGGGGTTCCTAGGGGGACGCTGCTCTTTACATTCAGAAAATACTTTTTATTGGAGCACAGAGGACACATGTGGACATTTAGAATCTCAGTTGTTTAAACAGCTATGAAAATTGTCTCTGTCTCAGCCAGTAGGTGGTCCCCAGTGTATTCTTACAGAGAAATACAAATGTGCCGTCCAACATTTCATTTACAGCTTAAGACAGAGATGGAGAAACATGCTTTTCAGATTTGCAGATATTGCAAAGTTGTAAGTTAATGTGATAAAGACAGAACAAAAGACAAGATATCCTAACAGGCTGTCTGGAAGCAAGATGAGATCTTAATAGTGTACAAGTCAATTTTTGCAACTGGGTTTTAAAATTTTACATAAATACACAATGGGAATAATAATTTGGCACCAGCTCCTGTGAACAATATGTGAGGATTTTCATGGTGTGCTTCAAGTGAGCCAGCTGTGGGATGGGCTGTCAAGGAGGCAATGCCCATTCAGGCTGAATTAGGGGAGGGCCATACCCAAGTTCAGGGCAGGCATTGTTCCATTGTCCTCTGTACTGGCCCGGTGGTTCTTTGAGCATGGTTGTCATTTCTGAGTACTTTTTAAACATTATACTGACAAACTAATATGTGTCTAAAAGAAAGCAACTAAGACAGTGGATAAAACCATGCTATTCTATGGTGAAGACTTGAAAGAATTACGGGTGGTCAGCCTGAGGAAGAGCAGCAAGTGCAGGCTGAGAATGACTATGTACAGTTCAGTTGGGGAAAGGCCTGTAAGAGGGAAGCGGGAGGCTGCCTGTTTTGTGCAGCCCATAAGATGTGCCTCAGAACAGTGGGAACAAGTTACAAGGTGCAGATTCTACATTAGTATAATAAAGCATTGCCCAGCAGTCAGGGACAACCAGCAATATGACAGCTCTCAGGAGCAAAAACCTTCCCAAAACTCCATTTGAGCAGAAGCTAGCGGTTATGCCAAAGATGTGTAGAAACATAGTAAACCCAGTCACTTTTTGAATCCAGCTACGTGTTCACTGGAATAACACCAGTGGGATTGCTGTTGTTTAAGCAGACTTGTTGGTCAAGTATAACCTAGGACCACTACAATAGTCATTTGCGTCTATATTTTTCTCTTGTTAATTTTGCAGTTCTCTCAGTTTTCAAAACAGCTGGTCAAAAACCCAGTTTAACACTCTCTCCAAAACAGTTAAATAACTGTCATTAAATAATCAAACATTAAGTGCAAAAAATAATGTCTTGTTGAGCAAAACACTGGTCCAGTTGGGAGAAACTCCACTGGACATTCCATCATGGAAACATTATTTGCTGAGTTAATTGATGAATGTTCAGCCAGGTCTTTAGCCTCTCTGTGTTTTGGGAGAACTCCAATAACTGTAGAGGAAAAGAATGTGGCCCGCTTCCCATTATGTGTTTTGTTTTCATTTACATCTGTGTATGTTTCCCAGTTTGGGGCCACCTGTCCTTGAACAGCTGGATGCAGGCTGTATATTCAAGAGCTCTAAGCCAAAACACAGGAACTCCTGATCCTTGGCATTGTCGGAGGTCATTGCTGGCCGTGGGAATCATCCCTCCTCTGACTTTGCACAGCTGTATGTTTTAAATCACTGGAGGGAAAACTGTTTTGTACTAAAATGCATTATTTTTTTTTAGATCAGAAAGCTTGTCAATTCCTCACCCATGAATGTTCTCACAGGTTACAGGCCAATGTCTGTGTAAATTAGGCCATGGTGGGAGACGCTGCAGCGAGTGCCAGGAAGATTACTATGGCGGCCCACTGGGGCAATGCATTCGTAAGTATCAGTAACTCTAAAGACATGCGTACAGTCAGCCTGGTCCTGCCACAAGCATGCTATCAGCAAACTGAATTTCAAACTTCATTATTTGGTAAAAAACTCACTAATTTTAATTCCAGTTTTGAAAATAATATTTTTGTGGTCCTATAAAAAAAGATATTTGGCCCTGGCTGGTGTAGCTCAGTGGTTGAGTGTAGGCCTGCGAACCGAGCAACCACAATTCAATTCCCAGTCAGGGCACATGCCTGGGTTGCAGGCCAGTTCCCGGCAGGGGACGCACAAGAGGCAACAATACATTGTTTCTCTCCCCCTCTCCTTCCTTCTCCTCTAAAGATAAATAAATAAAATCTTAAAAAAAAAAAGATGTTTGCCCTGTATTAAAACTTTAGACTATATTAAATGTTAGCCTATGTTCAAACTTGTGTCCCATATTAACATTCCTCAAAGTCATTAAAATGGAACAGACCTCCGAAGTTACGACTTGCAGCCGATTCTCTGCTGTCTGGAAGCATGTTGACAAAAACAGCTGCTCTGGACTGAGGTGCAGGCTGGGAGACATGTGGCAGGAAGCCGGCGGAGGCTCCTCAACATGGCCCTCTCATAAGTCTGGGTCTACCACATACTCACTCATTCATTTACTTTAAGCCATTAATACAGTGTGTACTGAGTACTCCAGGTAGTGAACAAATGAGACAAGGTGCCCAAACTCAAGGAGTTTGAGTTCTAGTGCCTGTCATGCCACGTCTTAGCACTCGTTGTGGGAGTTAGGACCAAGCCGTCCAACAGAACTTTCTACAGAAATGGAGATGCTGTACATCTGCACTTCCCAGTGCAGGAGCCATGGGTAGCTGTTGAGCATTTGCAGTGTGGCTGGTGCAAATGAGGAAAAGAATGGTAATTTCATTTAATTTATTTAAATCTAAATGGCCACATGTAGTTAGGAGCTACCAAATTGGACAGTACAAATTTAAAATCTGGGTTAGGTTCTAAGAAAAGGAGTTTCTGAGTCTCTGTTTAAAGTCAGCTCCCAAAGAGGTCAACCCAAAGAAATAACAGACATGATAGGTTTGTCATCTACATACA